AGATATAGATATAGATATAGGTATAGATATAGATATAGATATATAGATATAGATATAGATAGATATATGCACATGCTTGGGTGCTCAATTTCAATCAGAACCAGCATCTCATGAGAAAGAGATTTTCCTGGCTCTGTCCGGTTACTCATTTACATCTTTTGAACAATGGATTTTTTTCCTTGGATTTATAAATCAGCAATTATACTAGAGACTTTCAGGTACCTCTGTTATTTCATTTGTTGTCTGCAGCAGAGAAAAGCGAAGGGTATAAAATAGCCACAGTTAAACCTAATGAAGCAGTCATGTACAGGCTTGTAAGATAATTGAAGGATATTATTTCTTTTTGTCCAGATTTGAACAATTCCACCACTGAATCCCCGCAAAGCCTCAAGAATGCCACACGCTCCTCCGAGAATACAACCCTGGCGCATCGTAAGTGCCGTGGCAGCTCTGGAAAAGCTGTGCCCTTGTCTAGTTACATATTTTAGCTATTATTTCGGAAGACGCGAACATGGAGATGGCTAGAAAAAACAGGAATGTATCCTTAGGCAGCACTGATCTCAAATGTAGGTAGCTGAGCCATATTAGGAAAGGGAAAATATCTGTCTACCAAGAGATGAAAGATGATTTTTGTGGTTCAGACACAGTGCTTGACAGAGGAGACTGAGGTTTCACTCAGTCACGGCAGAGGCAGACTCTTTGTGTTGCTGCTAAGCCACTTAATATCTTTAGCTTTTTCATTACCATCAAAGAGGTGAAAAGCTTGTCATTCTTCCAGACCACTGTGCAGCTCAATGCTGGCTTGCTGGAGTGTCTTAATAGATGTTTTCTAATACTCTTTCTTTCTTCTAATATTCTTTAATTTGATAAAAGCACATTTTTTGTCTAACACCGGGTAGTAGACCAAAAATGTAGGTATACCCCCAAGTGAAGTTTGACACCCGGATTCTGGAATTTGATTTCCAGTGCTCAGCAGGGTGAATAATGGTGGCTTCTAAACACAACCTTCATTATAAAAAAACCCAAATAAGTTACTAAAAATGTCCTGTGCCCATATCCTTTTAGGTAACCTGTCCTTCAGCATCACAGACCAGCCAATTTCAGTTACCAAGGGGAAAGATTTCTTCACTACCAGCAGTCTGCTCAATATTACTGGTGAGACATCATCCTAAAATCCCCTTCTTTCAGCGTGCCGTTGCAGTAAGCAAGAAAAGCAGAGAAGCACAAAACCTGGAGCATCGTGTAAATTTGGCCAAGGAATTTCAAAAAAAGGAAAAGGGACGGAGTCACAGCAGCTGCATTGCTACACCGCGGGTTGTCGCAGGCTTTTGGCATCCCTGCCTTCTCCCTGTCTCTGCAAGCAACAACCCAGCGCATGTTTTCTTCCAGCAGCAAAATTTGGCCGGTCACACTCCTAGCGCATGTTTTCTTCCAGCAGCAAAATTTTGGCACCCCAGGGGCCACTCATGGCTCATGCAGCGTGGTGGACTTGGTGCCCGGCCGCGGTGCTGGCTGCCACTATGGCTAAGACCCAGGCTGGGTGACGTGCCAGTAGGACCAACCTTGCAAAGGGTTGTAAGGCCAGCACAACAGGAGGTGACACTGGGGTGGTATTGCCTAGTGACATTTGTGGTCCAGCCCTCTCTGGCACCCAGCTCACTGCTGCATCCTCCACGGCGGCTGAAGGAGGACCGTGCTCCCCCTCTCCTTCCTCCCTGTAGCCAGGACCCCGAGGGCATCTCTTTCAGCCACCAGAGTCCCCGAGGGTGGCTGCGCAGGAGGGAGCAGCGGGGGGATCCCAGCACCGCAGTGGGGAGAGGCAGCTGTGGAAAGGTGGGGATGCTGCGCCACCAGAGAGAGCCCACCCCAAAAGGCGGCTGCGCCCTTGGCCAGACATTTTGGCAGGGTTTGGTGTCAGTAGCATGAAAAACAAGCCCGTGGGAAGGAGGGCTGGGGCGGGCAGCTGTGCCCAGGCTGCACCACGACACGCTTCCTCTTCTCAGAGAAGCTCACGGGGGAACAGAGAAAACCAATGGCATTTGGACGACATGCTTGCCAGGCTGTGCCTGAATAAGCTCGTCGTGTGAACCGATGGGTGGCTGACATCAGCCTGCAAACCCAGTCAGAACGAAAGTGGTTTAAGTCCACAAACTACAGCTGCATGCTTAGAGTTTGGGATCCTCAGCCTGGGAACCTCGCACCCCGCTGTTGATTTGGGCCTGTTGTACTGTTGTACTGTTTAATACTGTACCAGTACTGTGCCTGGGGGGAGCAGCGAGCCACAGGCAGCAAGCATGGATTTCCCTCCTCCCCGAGGATGCTGAGCTGAGCTCTGTCTTGTGTGTCCCTTCCAGGAGGCGCGAGGAACACGAAAGCCAGTCACTTCCCCTGGCCAACAGTGGTAGCCGTCCTGCTCCTCTTCTGCAGTTTTCTAATAGTTTTAGGCGTCAGGAAATGGTGTCAGTACCAGAAAGAGATGTAAGTACTAGGGAGGGGAACTGCAGGGGCAGGAGGGGTGGCACAGGGGACAGCACAAACTCTAACCCAGCTGTTTGGATTTACACATTTTCATTTGAGACTACCCATAGCGCACAAGACCTTTAAATACATGGATCACTAATGCTGTTTTTTCATACAGAGGTATGACATGTGGAGCGTTCTTAGTCCTTTCATCTGTTCTGTGGGTTAACTATAAAATAAACTTTAAAAAAAGAGCTTCGATGCAGTTTCAGTTTGTGAGGGAAGAATACAAGTCAATTTTTTTCCCCAGAGCCCCCCACTTCTATTAGCGTCCCTGCCAGCTGCTTTTGCTCTCTCATTTTTCATAGTTACTTGAGGACATGTTTTAATGAAATTGTACTTCTAGGGCAATATAGACTGTTTGAGTTGTGAATAATATATTTAAAAGTAGGCTACCTGAAACTTAATCCCAGTCAAAGAAGCATTGAGTTTGTAATTATTACCAAAGTTTAATTCCCTACTAAAGCACTTGGAGATCTACTGATGAAAGCAGTATCTAAGAGCCAATTATTTTTAATCTTATTAACGTTACTAAAATGTTTGAAAAATCATGGTGATCATTTGCGGTTCTAGAAAACCCTTTTGAAACATGACTGCAAATCCTGTATATCAAAAGTAAAAATGGGATTGATTTTTTTCACTGATTTGGGATGGGACCTTTCTTCATGTTGGTCTATAAAGTGATGAAAAATGTTATGAGTCTTTAAATATACCTTCAGAGAGCCGTGGGAGCAAAAGATCTCTGCGAGGGTTTTGAATGGTTCACCAGGATCATGGTCTGTTTTTCTGAAGCATGAATGAAGTAAAATTGTGAGGTGGGAGCTGAGGAAGCCAAATAAATACCAGCAGGTGCATTGGGGCTGTAGAACAGAAACAGGGAAGTTGCAGTATGTAAGAGCAAATGTCAGGTGCTCTTATAATGATTTAGTGTCCATCTACCTCCTCCTGTGAACACTCTACAGCAGCCTTTTATACGGCTTTTGTGTGATAGCGCATTTTTTCTCTTCTGTTTCAGTATGAACAGACCTCCGTCTTTCAAGCCACCGCCACCTCCGATAAAATACACCTCCATGGTGGAGTCTGATGGGACTCCCCCATCCTGCCACGAACTGGAAAACCTGTAACTGCCTACACCCCTTCTGTAGTGTGCAGAAGGCTGACACAGTTACAAGGCTTTGTCTTTAAAACAGTGATTACAGGAGTTTGGTGTTAATGACCCATATTAAAATTCAGAGCGCCTAAATGACATTGATGTTGGAAGCTGAGCACTCCTGAGGACATTTACTTCATCCCGTCTATCTCTATGTATGCATTATGTTAACACCATTGTGAGTGTCACCGTGAGATTACACGTGCTTAATTTGAACGGGGTGATCAACTGGGAATTTGCTGTCTTGTTAATGGGAGCAGATTAACACATCACTCCGCCAGCCTGCCTGAAGAGTGTTGAAGCTTTTTGTTTTACTAAGTGTATAGAGATCACAGCTCTGCCGTATGGACACCTCGATTACACGGGAAACGTCGGCTTAACACAAGTTTTTTGATACCTAGATGAGCCATTCTTACAATTATTATTTTTTACTATACAAATATTGACTAATATGACCCAATATATAATTTCCTATCACTGTGAAACTAAACAAAAAATAATCAGCACCTTACGTGGCAAGAAAATAGTCTGCATCTGTCATCACCGGGGTTGCAGCACAGGATTGCGGGGAGGGGTTGGTGAGATGAAAAGGCACTGTGCCGACCCAGTGAAAGTGTTCGTGAAGGAGACTCAGTCGCTGTTGGTGAAGTCAGAAGAAAGAGTCAGCTTCGGGCTCATTTACAAGCCACCTGTGGACCAGAAACTTAAGGACTGAAGTGAATAAGGACCCCAAAGATAACAGAAAGTGCCAGTCCTTTTGGAAGTGCTGTGCCTTTGAAATAATAATAATTACTTTTGAGTCTGCTTTTCTGAAATTATATTTACGGTACATGTGAAGAAAAAAAGGAATATAATAATTTCATTCTCCTTTGTTCTTAATGAGCTTCTGTCATTTGCTCTCTTCACATTTTGCAAGACCTCAGGGGTAGTTTCCCAGGTGGCTTAAGCCTGCGGAAGGGACGGTCCAGACTTACCCCTATCCTGCCCGGGCTGCGTATTTCTTTGCAGTGACACTAGTGATTAAATGACCATGCCGAGGGTGGGATCAGCTCAGCTCGCTGCACAGTTCTTAGCCAGGTCAGCAGCTGCGAGATCACTAACGCAAGGCACAAGAGATGCAGCAGGAGCACTGCTTTTGGCAGCGGTGTGGTCTTTCATTGCCTTCAGCCAGCCAAGAAACTGTCCCTCCACGCTCGTTTGAAAATGTATTGTTACCACAATGGTATTCTGTAATTAATGCAAATCAACTAAAATTCAGTCATGTCAAGCTTAAAATTGGTATTCTGATTTAGGAATGGGATTTGCCTTATTTACTGCTAAACACTGGTCGATGAGTATCAGGGTTCAGAGCACTCTGTTTCCCAGGACTTTAGGTGAATGAATGACTTACTGGAAAGAATGATTTGACAGACCTTTTTAAAGTATTTGGTAGTGTTATTCACCTTATAGCACAAGCGGTTCTAAATCCATCACCAAGGGAATATCTGTCCTCAACAGAAAACGTTTTCCTTCCCACAAAACTACATGGACATTGCATGCACAGAAGGCTCAATATTAATTTGAGCGTTTATTGTCCGCATGGGTTTGTAGAAGCAAAGTAGTTTAACTATTGTCATACTATCAGTCACTGCAAAAGGCGGCAGCTTTTTGTTCTTCAAAAAAAGAAATCAGAAAAAAACCAGCTGGATAGCCATATTGCAAGGGATGCGGAGAGCCAGGACTTTCTTCCTTGTCATTAGATGAGGATGACTGTCCGTAGCATACCTGCCGAAGAGGGGTTATTTTATCGTCTTGGATATTTTAATCCCCTCGGTTGCTTCATGTCAGAGGTGTTCCCTCCAACACTAAGGTTTTGCAGGGCGCCTTGAGAAGCGTTCAGCCTTGGCGCGATTTCCACCGCTGCCTGCTAACGGAGCCGGACTGCAAGGAGAGCTACCGGGAGCTTTGTCCCGGTCCCCGACCCATCCCATCCCCGAAGGATGCTGCTGCTTCCACAAACCTGGATCGGCAATGTAAAGCTCTCCAGGCCACTCCCGCCCGGCTGAGGAGCACTTCCACCCTCTCCGGGGGGTCTTCCACAGCCCCCCGCCCCCGACGGGGGAATACCGGCGGGCACCCAGCCGCGCT